GTGCTCGAGAAACGTATACCACTTGTTCATTTTCATCGGGATAATTTGCACCGGAATCTCCTTCGCTATCGAGCCCGTCGAACAAAGAGCGATTCATTTCCCGAATCTAGACCCACACCGACCGAGTGCCACTTTACTTTCCGATGCACGGGAATTTTACAAAGGGATTTTTCCTTCTTTTCTTTTCTTTTTCTTTTTTTCTTTTTTCTCTTTTTTTCTCTCCACTGTTGCAAAAAAAGCAACGATACGATTACCCGCTGCTACGCCCGCTGTAACAACCATAACAAATAACAGGAATAGATCGCGAATAGGATGGGAAAGCGAGCACCGGCAGAAGCAGGCGCGGACCGCCAATTGAAATGCATCATGCGATTCGAAATTATTGGTCTACGTCTCACAAAGTTCCTCGCGTAATATCATTAATTTGGAACGGCGAATACGAATGGACGCAACTTCATTATCATTATCAATACCGCACCGAAATCGCGTGACAAATGTGCAACCGCAAACCGGAACGCCCCAGCGTACGCTTGGAACGCCATTGGCCGGCCAGCCGCTCTAATTTATCCTTTAAATTATTCATCGTCTCTCCCGGGCTATCCCGTCGATTTTTGATCGGCAAAGGAAGAAAGTATTCCGCGGAACAGGTGCGCTGCAATTAGACACGTGCCGTGAGCGCGACGGGGGGAGGGGATTAAATTGCGAGGAAAACGGGAGAGCGGAAGGCAAATCGTGGCCGACGGGAGTAATTTCGCTGGAAAGTGAAAAGGATGAGCGTGCGTGGTCAAACGCGATGCGCGCGTGAATGTTTATGCCCCACGATGAGTCCAACTCTCGTTTCTATAAATTATTCGCATTCGCATGGGCGGAATGGTAATTTTCTAGCCCGGCAGCGTGGAATGGATTATCATACAAGTGCGTTGCACTTGTTGAACCCTTGTTTATGATCGCTTGTTCGAAACGAGTCGCGCAACCGTTGAAAACGTTGTTAACGTGAAAAACGAAGGAAGGAAGATCGCACCTCCCGTGCATCTCCCAAACAAACAAATGGAAATGTCGCAAAGGTTGGCGTGTGTGGAAAAATTGTACTCTTCGCAAGGGAAGGGGAAAGAAGAGAGGGATCGTAATCTCGTTTTCGAAATAAAGGTACGTAAAGTTTCGGTGTGAAAAGGGTGGAGGGAAAAGCATCGCCTACTCATCGCTCGAGTTCCCCCGAGTACTTTTCGAAAAAAAATATCTTCTCTATGTTTCGTCGTGTGTGAGGTGCGAGCGTCTCTCGCGAGATTCTGCGCGTCATTTCCCGTAGAATGGGAGGAAACTCGTAAGAGAAGACTCGTACCAGTTCGGACTTGTCCGTGAGGCTAAACTAATTTGCCGCGTGAGGGTAGTCGCTGGGTTCGAGGTGGGTTGAAGTGGGGTGACACAGGGTCGAGGCAGATGGAAAGTTCAGAGGGGATGAAGGGAGAGTCATCTGATTCCGCGTAGTGGGAGAACCGAATTCCGAGTGACCAGTAAAAATACCACCCCACGCCCTCCCCTTTCCCGCTTTCCTTCACTTTCTCTTTCCGCTTCGGTTTCTTCCCTCCTCTTCCTTTTCGTCTCCCTTCTCTTTCGGATCTCCTCTACCCTCACCAGATCCTACCTTAGGGGTATAGGAAGGACTGTGAACTGGGGTAAAAGACTGCTCGTGCTGAGTCGCGAGGAGGACGGTGATAGCTTAGAGACGCGTGGCCATGTTTGTGTCCATGGGTACATACGCGATCGTGTGGGTGAGCGGCTTTTTTAACGCACGTGTGTGCAGGTGCGTAAGTCTGAGAGAGGAGGAAGTTCCTTAACGAAGAAAGACTTTCTCAGTGACGGATACCTTTCCTCCCAATACCCCTTTCTTATTCGATTTTAATTTTTTTTTACTCGATCGATCAAAATCGTAAAGGGATTTTCAAATAATTCAAGCGTCGTGTCGAATCGATGAAACACGGTTTGTACGAATATATAAATCCATTTCTAATAACTTAACTTTGTATCAAGTTTGTTGCGTGAATAAATTATACGGACACGCGGAATAAATAAAAATGAAATGGAGAAACGTTTGATATTATCTAAATTTTCTCGAGGTAAAGAAGTTGGGAAGTTGAAGAAAAACGTAAGGAACCAACAGGAGTTTAGGAAGACGTCGCCCCTGACTTTGAAAGAGGGTGGCAGGGAGTAAGGG